AACCAAATAGAAAAGTTTGGATTGTTAATTAAAAAAATATCATCAATATATCTGCATGTGAAATTAAATGACCTTGCTTCTTTGATCTTCTTGTTTTTGACAAGTGTCTAAAGGAATCCGGACTCATATGAAAATAAGAAGAGGTCGGCAAGGAGAGGCTCACAGTTTGTTCCAATAGGAATGCCGACAACTCGTTGAAAAAGTCTACCTACAAATTCAACAAATATCTTGTCAATAAGAAACTCCAGCATAGTGATCACTTGTTCCTCTGTGTAGCATATTTTACTTTTTTGTTCACTATTAACAAAATATGATTATTGTATCCTAAAGTAATACATTTATTGTGTATGCTACCACTCTTATGTTGAAAAGCATTGTTGATTATTTCATTTAGACGATTTTCCAATTTCGCATGGGGAATAGTGGTATACAGGGTTGAAAAAACAAAAGTTTTGATAGAACTCATTCCAGAGAAAGATCATGATTTAAAATTATCCAGAATTTCTTTAGAGTTTTTAAGAATCCTTATATGGTTTATACCACTACGCGAGTAAACAATTTCACAGTATTTCTGAAGACCCTCTTTCATTGCGGACAGAATCTTTGTCAATCTATTGGACAATTCTTTCGTCGAACATGCAGATGAGCCGGCAATGTACCGTTGTTTGAACGGAATTTTGTGAAGCTTAGGTATCCAATACAAACAAGGTAAGTCCTTCGATTTGATGTTTAATGTAATATTCATATAAGCCATGAATGACTTATTAAACTTGTTCGTCCGGCCGCCAGGCATGGGGTCAATTACTTTGAACTGTAATCGATTAAATTACAATTACTTTGCTTATTTGATGTAATCGATTACATTACAATTACACCTAAATTCAAACGTAATTGATTACATTAGATTACTTTTCTTTAAAGTAATCATGATTATTTTATATTACTCATGATAACATACATTGTATACTGTGGTATGAAATTAAAACTTTGTAAACATTTGATCCTGATATAAAATAGCTAATCTGAGCAAAAATATGTGTTTATAACATTTTGAATATAAACATGTTATTGATAAGAACTTAGAAAAGGAGCAGTGTAATATTCGTATTGTTTGATGACATAATCTAAATTATCTTATTTGACAGATTAATTTCAATGTAAATGTCTCTGTGCTCTCTCTGTTAAAAGAATAACATTTAAAATTTTAACCCAATTTAAAACATATTTTCAATTAAGAAAAAGAAATTAACAAATAGTGATTATTCAATGATGAAGTAGCGTTTATGTCTATGTGGATATAATTGACACTTAAATGTGTTAATCACTACTTCAAATTTTATAACATACAAAAAGTGAGCTTGGGTAATTAAAATGAATTGTTTTGATTGGAATAATCAATACATTTGTACACAACTTATTTTTTTATTATATACATGATTTTAAAATTTATATTTCTACACAAACATATTAAGAAAACACATGTTAAAACATTATGAAATTTTTTGTTATAAAATTTGAGAAAAAAATAGTTGGTTCTAAATTACAATATCATTTCAATGCAAACATCAAAGTCAGTATTTTTACTTAACCATAACAGTCCAAAAACTGTCTGCAACCCCAAAGGAACAGAAAAATATTTAAAGAAGTACATATATTATATCACAAGGGATCAATCTCAAAATCATACCTTTGGAAAGGTAAAATCATTTAGTAAACAGTTAAAAAAAAACACACATATACACCCTACATATATTAAAACTGAAATTATTAAATATTTAATAGGGTCAGTCATATTAAACCATGATCAATCATAGATAACATTCGTTTGGTGATTTTTTTTGATATTGATGCTTTTATATAAAAACAATTTTTATATATAAAATTTGTAATCAGCAAGTAATCATTTGAATGTAATCTAAAAGTAATCCTGATTACACCTGTTTTTGGCAATGTAATCGATTACACTTCGATTACTTGTAATCATAAAATGCATGATTACTGATAACATGTGACTACGCTGCAAAATGTAATCGATTACAGCTGATTACGATTACTGATTACGATTACCCCATGCCTGCCGGTCGGCCGTTACTAAAACTATTCGTTAGTCCGGCAATCAATATGTCTTCAATTTATTTAAAGTCGCCATGATATCGTTAATTTTTTTCTTCAAATCCTCCTCAAAAATAGTTGACGGTTTCACTCAATTAAAACACGAATGACTCATTCGTAAAATATTTAATGTTTGAATATTTTATATTAGAGGAGAACTAGTGAGGATTCATTTTGACGATCCTAGATATATAAATGAAGATGGTATAACTAAAGATGTAAATTTTCTCCTAAACAATATCTATTCTCATTTCGGACATACAGTTTATAGACAGGTTATAAGCACAGGAAACGTTATTAAAATTTTGAAGACCAATGACGATTTTTTACGTACCTCTTGTTAAATGTCCTGGTTTGGACTGTGGTGTTCAATGAGGCTCATCTAACGGTGTTTATATATCCCAACTCCTTCGATATGCACATGTTTGTAGAGAGGTTTTAGATTTCATTAATCGGTATCTATGTGCCACTGGTATTATTATTAAGTAAAAAATTGCGTTACCACAAATTACGTAACATCTTTACTTAATTCGTTCATAGATACAAAGATATGATTTGGAAGCTTGTCTGTACCTATAGAAAACTTATTACAAACGGGATATACATGTAAAAAAAATTTAAAGTTGATATTGTTTATATCTTCGATTATTGATTTTTTCCTGGAAATTAAAACATAACTAGATGGTATAACTAAATTGCTTTGCACATTCATGGTCCTACATTCTGTCAATATCTTTATTTTGGTATTGCAGATTGAGAAGATCTTTTTTTTAAGATGACGTCTTTACACTTAATCCGTATGATGTGTACAGATTGATATTTTATTCTTAGATACATTATTTGTTACTACATGTTAGCGGGCCTCATTGGCGGAGTGCTCAAAATAGTCCGACTACTGTATCATTAGCCTGTCAACACTGCGGTAGTGACTTCGAATCCTGTACGTGGCAGGTGCTCTCGACTCAAAACTTAATTGACTAGGATTGTCAGACTTTTCGCCGAGATCAGTTGTTTTCTCAGGCTTTCTCCGAAAATAAAAACTAACCACCACGAAATACCAAGTAGTGCTGAAAGTGGCGTTAAGCACTAATAATGAATTCATCAATATAACATGTTTTTGGTAGAACAAGCTTTTAGACAATGATAGTACTCTTAAATCTTAAGTCTGGGTTCTTAGTTATTTTGTTAGTTGTTTTATGCAATATGTAGATCTGATGAGTTAAGCGCATTTCAATTGATGGTTATTGTTTGTTTTTACTTTGTGGTGTTACAGCACTGTGCCAGGTTATGCAACGGTTGGGTCCCAAAGTCATGTTTAATATCGCCACATTCTGTATGTCCCTGCCTTTAGTCTGTATTTGTTGAATGCCGTCTGGTGATCTTTAGTTGGTTACTTCAAATTGCTTGTCCCCATTTAAAATCCTTCATTTTTTTTCGGATCCTATTCAAATTTTGATGACGATTTCCACTCATGTACAATGCTGATAGGCTCTATCATTAGCAAGATCTGAATAGATGGCCTATTTAAGTAGAGAGCCCTGCAAAATATACTATATAATTTTTTGTAATATGGATACAAGATATTCTTCCTGTTTTTATGAAATTTTCCACTTATCAACAATTTTGATGAGTAGTAGAATATCTTTAATTTTTCCCTCTTTCCTTTATCGTTTTACATATTGTTTATTTCCGGATGAATTAAAGATTAAATATAAATACAATTGAAGTTATTGAACACGAACTATTCATCTTTGTAATTGGGGCATTGTTCTTGGGGTAAATATTTCATTTACGTGATTAAAACTCTCACATGGTTGACTTGATAGGTTTCAATTTTCCAGACGTTACCACTACTCTTGAGATGAACGAAACAGTTAATTAAGCACAAAATATAATACATTCTATTCATAAATTTTTCAACAAATCGTATCAATGAAATATATATAAGATATTCAAGTTACAAAATTATGTTTAATTGTGCATAATGCATGCATATGCTATGTGTTAAAAAGATCAAGGAACAATAAACAGTGAATTAATTTATTTTAGGTATTTCCAATATAAACAATCTTTTTCTTTAATCTGCTTTCAAACACAAATGATTTGTTTTCAGAAATTAAAAATCAAACAAATACAAAAAAAAAACATGCTCCAAAAAAACAAACATAAATGGTTTGTACCTTATGCAAAGTTATAAAATAGCCTGCATACGTCCATTTAAACATGTTGAACATTCCCTCTAAATTTAACAAACATGACTATGGCCCTACAACTATTTAGTGTACAGTACTTGCAATCAAAGGCGTTACTATTTCAGCGACCAGTCATCTGTCATCGATCAGTCACCGATCGGTTAAGTTGGCGTCAAACTCACTGCACCAATCCTTCAGACTAATAGAACGGATTGGCCTTTCTGGCGGATTGAACTCTACTACGTTACATGTTGAACTCTTACAAATTACGGAATATTAGTTTCGTTACATATAATTAAAATGGCGCAACGGGAAAATACAAATCGTTAAAGTACAGAACCCCGACTTTTTATCATCAATCTTTCAGCAAAGTGAACGCTCTTCTAGCATACTAAAATAATACGTTTTTTCATTATTTTAAACTTGTCAAAAATGTCATAAACGTTGATACCATAGTTTGCATTCAGCATGTTTGGAAATCGCAATGATAAATTCACGCAAAAATTTCAGAATTTACAATAAACTTTGGTTGTTTTGAAATATCCTAGCCGATGAAATATCTATATAATGTAGATATTATTATCTTTTTAAATGTCCAATTTAATCAATATATCACAGCCATGATTATAAAAATATAATTGGAACTTTAAATATCTAAAAATATCGCATAAATTTTCACTTGCGTATCGGTTATAAATAGATTTAGTCATGGGAGAAAATCTTTGCAGCATTAATATGCCTTCGGCTACCGAGGAAAATTATAAATATGAATGTTTTTCTATGTTCTTTGATTCCACTAGGCGTGACAGCACTTACCGGATGATGATTCAGATTGCTTTTTTGCTTCTGATAGTAACAGCGATGTGCATGTGGTATAACGCTGTAGATAAGTTCGTCATTATTTTCATCATAGTCATGTTCGGAATGTTTTTTGCGATAGGATGTATGACAGCCAATAGATTGAGCGAATGTGAAAATAAAATAAGTCAGAAAATAAAAACGGAAAAAAAGAAAAGAGTTCAAAATGCTGTCAATGGATTGTTTAGTAAGTAATTAGTTGGTTTCGACTTAACTTATTATAAAAATACGTTGCATATTTATTAGTGAAATCTATCAAGCACCGCTTTAAATGATAATATATAAGTTTTAGCATTTAACGATATTTAATAAATATTTGGTTAACAGTCTTATATCAAAGATGAGCGTATGCACATAGCTACTGCTTTAATGGGCTACATACTGTGGTTTGTATATATCCTATTCAAACGAGCCCATGCAGAAAGTTTGTCTATTTTAAAATTTTTAGTCACAGTCGTAATCAGATTATTATAATTATTTTAGAAATAATTCATGCCAGCCATAAGTTTGTTGGAATTTAAACATTGCCTGGACCGTTATTTTCGAATTTTGTTCTAAGAGATGTAATGACAAACAATCAAAGGCTTGCATGATTTTTTTTCTTTTATAACATAAAGACAAAATGTTTTTAATCCTTATGATTCTCAACCAAAACATTTGCAGTTTTAAATTCCCAATTTGTTTCAATAACCACAATTTACTGTTTAAAGATGAGTCTCTAAATTATCAAGACAAACAGCGAACAGTTTTAGAAACACAGTCTACCGGATAGAGGATACCCTCAGGGATCTAAAACCTATCCAGGAGTATCGATATTATAACATGTGAACAGCGTTTCTGCATTATCATTTTTGAAAATTTCGAAATATATTGTGTCAGGGAAAAGAATTAGTCTGTTATAGAAAAATATTTGAGTACGTATTTAAAATTTTGAAACAAAAAATTGAACGGTTTAATATTTGAAAATTTTGAATGTGTGATTCTATCGATCCAACACTTTAAACAGTTAAAGTACATTGATTTAAATTTTAATAACTTTACGATGTTTCCTTTTATTTGTTACTGCTATATATTATTAGTTTCCATACAAATCTACGAATAAATGGTACCCATTGTAAACTCACACATACATGTTTTTTTTTTTCAGACAGTTTACCGTGAAAAGAGTTCTTTACTGGAGGTATGGCAATCAATGCGTATATTGTTTGTACAGATCACCATTTTACTCATAAATATACAACGATGATGACCATATCTTAATATATGTAGTTCGTATACGTAGAATTTTTGTTTTTATCATTTTATATATTGAAATAAAACTATTCTAATTATCTTGAAACGTTAAGACAAATGAATGAAGACCATCACAGTTGAACCTGTATAACGGTCACCCTGGGGACCATATAAAAGTGACCTTATAAAATGTGGTTGAGTTTTAAATTGAGTCTAAAAATGCAAACGCATTCCTACAGCTGGACAAAAAGATGTCGACCTGACAAGATGGGTTTTGCTTAAAAGAGGTGACCTTTATAGCAAGTGTGACTGTATAATGCATATATTAAATCATATGGTAGACTTTTAAAGTTGAAGTGTTTGATGTATGCACTAAAGTACTAACCTTGTGGCCGCCAAGATTTTTCTATGCTTGGAATTCATGCAATTCCCACAGATTTAGCTCGACTAGCCACGAGGGCAATTTAATTACTTAAAGTCAATCGTCGTCCGTTCCATTTACCAAAATCTCGGATTTATTGATTGATTATTGGATGCTTAACGTCCAGTGGTCTAAAACCTGGGAAACCACTGAGTCAGATGTGTTTTATGGCATTAATGATGTATAGCGTGTCATATACAAATCCTCTTGCATGAAAACATGAACACCACAGTTAATGATATGACAAAAGGTTGGGTAAAAGTGCAGTTTTAGCAAATATACAATATATATCTTAACTGTGAACTTTCCATTTCTATGAAGAAACATTCCAGCAGCCCCTGCGTATGGAGAATATATCTCCCAGTTGATACGATATTCCATAGCTTGCATTTCCTATAAAGATTTCCTTGGTAGAGGGTTTCTGCTTTAAAAACCTTTGAAAATTTTACGGATGTCATCACGAGTTGCTTTACCGTTATGGAATATATGTTTCAAGGATGGCGAGTTTGTACTTACATTAGCAACATTGTGGGTGCCACATGTGGAGCAGGATATGCTGCTGACCCATTCGGAGCACCTGATATCTCCCCAGTTTTTGGTGGAGTTCGTGTTGCTCAGTCTTTAGTATTCTATGCTGTGTTTTGTGTAATGTTGTTTTTCTTTTCGTCGCTTTTCGTTTTTTGTCATAGGATTGTCAGTATATTTTCGATTTATAAGTTTGAATATCCCTTTGGTATCTTTTATATAAAAGACTAAAGCAGCTGGATGAAATCCGACTCATTAAGAATATCGAATGATCAAGAAATTTAAACTAAAATTTTCAGGGAAATCCTTTTTGAGTAACTTCCCCTGAAATATCATTTTTTTTTGGCCAATTTTGTAGTTTTGTTTATTTTATAATGAGTTAGAACAAACCTTCATATAACAAAAATGGCCAGTAAGACAAGGTCTATAAACAAACCAACATGGCTTGGATCGTCTATCAATGCCTTTAAAAGTTATTGCCCTTTGACATGTTTGAGGCAGATATTTTGCCAAATTTTTCAATAGTTATAATCGACGTATATTGTCTTTTAGTGACAATTTTCACCCATTGTTCGTGTTTCTAGGCTATTTCACTGAAAGGTATGATCATTAGAGAAAAATATAAAGAAAATAGAGATGATTAAGAAGATAATATCTACAACCTGAGTTTAAAACCTAGAATGACAATTTATTTATCATGGATTGCTACCCTTCAATGATCATGTATACCCATTTTTACATTTGTGGCACTGATCTTGAGAACTATAATAGAAGCAGAGAAACTATTAACAGCTAATGATATAACAAATTTAAGGTAAAATTTACCATGAACTTTAGATAACAGCGTGAGAAAATAATGTGATCAAAATTGTTAACTGACTTCTTATGTAAATACTATCCTATAATGACTTCACCATTTGTTTATATTCTCTGAGTGGATTTGGATCAAATGTTATCATATCTAACTAACTTTGTGAATGATCGTTGTCAGTTGCTAATGATTTTACGACGTGAGCAATTTAACTGCCGAGTATTACGCACGAGTCTAAACGCCATTCATCACTTACAAAAAGTAGTCCCGTATTACGCGTGTAGATCTTCATAGGTACCTGCAGTTCACACTACTATTTATCTGTACCATAGGTGCCTGCAGGTCACACTACTATTTATCTGTACCATAGGTGCCTGCAGGTCACACTACTATTTATCTGAACCATTGGTGCCTGCAGGTCACACTACTATTTATCTGTACCCAATTCTATTTTTAGAACACGAAACACAATTTATAGCAATCCGTGTTTTCTTAATATCCGTATGTAAATCCAATAATAGTACTTTTCATTCTCGGTTAATACTTGGAATACGGTATATCACAAAGCCATCATTGAAATTGTTTTCTTTAAATAACGTCTGGTGTTCGGACATATCACTTCAACTTGCTAATCCGAATCTGGATCATTGTCTGACGGAAGTCAAGGCCAAATGCGGTCTGAAAATAGATAATGAAATAATATCAAAACAATGTGTAGTTTTCATATTAAACATGTTAAAATGATTACTTACAACAATATTGTAAAAATATTGACAAAGTTATGTACAATGTGTATATTAATATTAATACAAACTGTATGTGCATGCTGTAAAAACAAATGCTGTTTATATTATGTAAGAGAAAACTTTTACATTTTTAATTTGATATTTATGACAAACAATGAGTGAAAACATACATATATGTTCATTAAATTGTCAAGGTCTAGGTTCAAAAGATAAAAGACAAAGGCTTCATATGTGGATGAAGTATCAACACTGTAATATTTTATTTGTACAAGAATGTCATTTCACTTCTACTTTAGAGAAACAATTTAAAAATGAATAAAAAGGTGATATATATCACAGTTATGGAAATTCACAATCAAGAGGAGTATCAATTTATATTAGCAATCACACAGATTATCAATTAATTGATAAATTTCAGGATGAGGAGGGGCGAATAATTTTGATCAACATAGAAATTTCAGAAAGTATATATACTTTAGTTAATATTTATGCACCAAATCTTCCCAAAAATAGAAATGCCTTTTTCAAAAAAGTAAATGACATGATACAGAAAAACAGTTTAGGGATGGTCATAGTTGGGGGAGATATGAATGATACACTATCTAATATTGACAGCAAAAAAAATAGCAGAAATAAAAAAAAAACAAAAACCAGTCAACAGTTTAAAAGGGTTATTCAAAACACATAAGTTGATAGACATTTGGAGAGATATACATAGTACCAATATACAATTTACATGGAGACGGAAAAATAAGATAAATGAAGCTTCACGCATAGATTACTTTCTTGTTTGTTCAGAAATAAGGTCACATATATATTCAGCAGATATAAGACCTGCACTTATTTCGCATACAGATCACCAAGCTATATCGCTAAAGGTAAAAGGGAGATCACAATCAAAAGGGAAAGGATATTTTAAAATTAATAATAGTATCTTGGATAATATAGAATACAAAAATATAATAAAAGGTCTTATTATGAAATATAAAAATAAAACAAAACTTACTGATAATATAGGACTTCAATGGGATCTGTTCAAAATTGAAGTTCGAGAACATACTGTTGCATACTGTAAAAGAAAAGCAAATCAAAGTATAAGTGAAATACACATATTGGAAAATAAGATTAAAAAATTAAATGAAAGTATAAACAGAAATTGTAAAGATGATGTTATTAAACATTTTCAAGAAGAATTAATTTATAATGAATGTAAACTAAGAAAACTTTATGAAATAAAAAGTAAAGGAGCTCAAATAAGGTCAAGGATAAAATGGGTAGAAGAAGGAGAGAAAAATACTAAATTTTTTTTGGGGTTAGAAAAAGCTAGACAAACTAGAAAGACTATAACTGCCTTGAAAGATGACAAAGGAGTTGTACAGACAGAACCTTCTAAAATTTTACAAATAGAAAAAGAATTCTATCAAAATATTTATAATAGTACAAATCCAGATGTGAAATCCATAGATAATTATATTAATGATACAAATATTGATCATAAATTAAATACACAAGAAAGTGAGATAATGGAAGGTACTTTAACCATTGAAGAATGCATGAATTCATTATTCAAGATGAAATTGAACAAATCACCAGGAATTGATGGACTAAGTGTTGAGTTCTATAGAACCTTTTGGGATGAATTAAAAGAATTTGCTGTATCTACATTTAATTATTCATATAAAAAAGGGGAGTTAACGAGTTCTCAAAAATTAGGAGTTATTTCTCTTATACATAAAAAGAATGATCCGCTTTGTTTAAATAATTATAGACCCATAACTTTATTAAATATTGATACAAAATTAATTGCATATTCATTGGCTCAGCGCATTAAAAATATCCTACCAAAAATTATTCATAAAGATCAAAATGGCTATGTTAAAAATAGATATATAGGTTATAATATTAGACAAATCCAGGATATAATTGATTATGCAGAAAGATTTAATATAGAGGGGGCACTACTATTTTTAGATTTCTCAAAAGCATTTGACTCTTTAGAATGGGATTTTATTATTTCAGCTTTAAACAAATTTGGATTTCAAAATTCTATGCTTAAATGGATTAAGACTTTATACACAGATATTAAAAGCGCAGTAATAAATAATGGATGGATATCTGAACCCATTAACATTCAACGTGGAATCCGACAAGGATGTCCGTGCAGTGCGATAATTTTTGTTATAGCAGTAGAGATATTAGCCTGTAAGATAAGGCAAGACCATAATATTAAAGGCTTTGAAATTAAGATAGATGGGAAAACACATTCATTAAAAATCAGCCAACTTGCAGATGACACGACACTTTTTCTAAAAACACAAAAAGACATTTCAAAAATTTTAAATATGATGGAAATCTTTGGCACATTATCAGGGCTTAAATTAAACAGATCAAAAACAGAAGGCATTTGGTTGGGAAAACATAAACACTGTAAAGAAAAATACGAAAACATCAACTTTACAGACAAACCAGTGAAATGTTTAGGAGTTTTTTTTTGGTTGTAATAAAAATGTGTGTCAAAAACTCAATGCTGAAAAACAATTAGAAAAATCTGAGAAAATAATTAAAAACTGGGAGAAAAGAAATCTAACATTATTGGGAAAAATAACAGTTATCAAATCACTGATTCTACCCAATATTACTTTTTTAGCATCTGTTTCACACATAGAAAAAGAATATATTGATAAATTTAAAAAAATTATTTATCAATTTTTATGGAAAAGCAAAATAGAAAAAGTTAAACGTAAAGTATTAAGCTATGAATTGCTAGATGGTGGTCTAAAAATGATTAACATAGATAAATACATAGAATCCATCAAAATTGGATGGATTAAAAGATTAATATATGGAGATTTAGCCAACTGGAAAGTTATACCATTATTTTATTTTAATAAATTTGGCAAGAACTTCCTTATCTTTCATATGAACATTGATGGTATTAACTCAATTCCAGGTTTAAATAAGTTGCCAGAATTTTATTTGAATGTAGTAAAAGCATGGGTAAAAAACAGAAAAATAGAGCAGCCTAAAAACTTTATAGCTATTCGTCAACAAGTAATTTGGGGAAATCAATTCATTAAGATAAAAAAAAAAGTCTTTTATTTCAAAACTGGATAAATAGCAATATCATCTATGTAAACGACATTATAGATGAAAATGGTAACATATTGGAGAAACATATTTTGCAAAAGCTCAGGATTAAATATAATTGGATGTCAGAATTTTCTCAATTGAAGAAAGCCTTTCCAAAAGAATGGCTTAATATTTTACAACAAGAAAATTCAAAGAAAACTAAAGTAAAAACAAATTATGTTTTATACATTAAGAATAATTGTAATTATATAGAAAAATTAGAAAATTTAGACACTAAAAAAATTTATAATATATTTATTCAGAATGAGATTGAAATGCCTGTTGGTTTTAACCGATGGAAAACAGTGTTAAAATTTGAGTATATTCATAGTTCAACATGTAATATATTAAAATTTGTTCATCATTATTTGAAAGAAAATAAGAATAAAGTGTTTCGTTGGAAACTGTTACACTTTATTCTACCTTGTAAAACTGTATTAAAACAGTGGAATATCTGCAATACTTCAAATTGTCATTATTGCAATACCACTGAGGATTATGATCATATGTTTTTGAAATGTCACTTTCTTGATGACTAAAATAAAAAATCTTCTTGAAAAACTGAATATTGATAATAATATTCTAACATTGAAGAATTTAGTATTCGGTTATAAAATTAATGATGAACAATATTATGAAATCAATTATTTGATTACATTAATAATGTTTTGTATATATAAAGCTAATTACATGTCTGAACAGAAAACAGAATCTATAAATGTGTATGCTGTATTTAAAGCAGAATTTATGTATAGTTACAAACTGCAGGCAAAATGTAAGAATACAAAATATAAATGTATTCTAGATAAAACTGCCAAATTGTTAAAATAATTTCTTTGTTTGAGAAGTATATGATCTAGCAAAAATAAATGGATGAATAAATTAATAAAAGAGATAATTTTACGAATTACACATCTGGAACTGATCAAGTAATATAAATTTTACCTTTCACCGCTACTGTACATGTACATGTGATGATTGAAATGATTGATAACGAGACTATTTACCGTTACAAAAAGAAGATTAAAAAATGAAATATTTATTTAATCTTAATCTTCTTTATACTACAGAAAATTTTTAATTCAGACATACCTGTGAATATGCTATATCACATCTGTTTATTTTTTTATTTTTTAAGTCATGGCCGGTGTGACAATATTTGTTTCAAAACCAGGAAGATGTTTGATAGAAAAACAATTCACCCGTTTACGGAGAAAATATGAAAAATTTCCGGAAACAATACCCAAAAATCAATTATTGCTAGATGATATATATAGTAGATTGTTAAACAAATAAGTACCATTGATATATACTTGTTAATTTCATTGCTGATAATTTTATAATTTAGCTGTTAAATTAAAACTAATGTTAATTTAATATAATGATGCTTACCAGAAACAACCCTGGATTTCGGGTATTAACAAACAGGGACTCTTTACTGGAATGATGGACTAGTGAAGTACATTGTTAACAGCAGAAAGTGCAATTAGTTGTTGTTGAATAAAAAAAAAAAAAAACTATTTATCTGTACCATAGGTACCTGCAGGTCACACTACTATTTATCTGTACCATAGGTACCTGCAGGTCACAATGCTATTTATCGTCACCATAGGTACCTGCAGGTCACAATGCTATTTATCTGTACCATAGGTGCCTGCAGGTTACACTACTATTTATCTGTACCATAGGTACCTGCAGGTCACACTACTATTTATCTGTACCATAGGTGCCTGCAGGTCACACTACTATTTATCTGTACCATGGTGCCTGCAGGTCACACTACTATTTATCTGTACCATAGGTACCTGCAGGTCACACTATTATTTATCTGTACCATGGTGCCTGCAGGTCACACTACTATTTATCTGTACCAGCAGATCACACTACTATTTATCTGTACCATAGGTGCCTGCAGGTCACACTACTATTTATCTGTACCATAGGTTCCTGCAGGTCACACTACTATTTATCTGTACCATAGGTACCTGCAGGTCACAATGCTATTTATCTGTACCATAGCTACCTGCAGGTCACAATGCTATTTATCTGTACCATAGGTACCTGCAGGTCACACTACTATTTGTCTGTATCATAGGTACCTGCAGGTCACACTACTACTTATCTGTACCATAGGTGCCTGCAGGTCACAATAGTACTTATCTGTACCATAGGTACTTGCAGGTCACACTACTAATTATCTGTACCATAGAATCCTGCAGGTTACACTACTATTTATCTGTGTCATATGTACCTGCAGGTCACAATGCTATTTATCTGTACCATAGCTACCTGCAGGTCACACTACTATTTATCTGCACCATTAGTACCTGCAGGTCACACTACTATGTATCTGTACCATAGGTGCCTGCAGGTCACACTACTATTTATCTGTACCATAGGTACCTGCAGGTCACATTACTATTTATCTGTACCATAGGTACCTGCAGGTCACACTACTATTTATCTGTACCATAGGTGCCTGCAGGTCACACTACTACTTATCTGTACCATAGGTACCTGCAGGTCACACTACTATTTATCTGTATCATAGGTACCTGCAGGTCACAATGCTATTTATCTGTACCATAGCTACCTGCAGGTCACACTACTATTTATCTGTACCATAGGTACCTGCAGGTCACAATGCTATTTATCTGTACCATAGGTACCTGCAGGTCACACTACTATTTATCTGTACCATAGGTGCCTGCAGGTCACACTACTATGTATCTGTACCATAGGTGCCTGCAGGTCACACTACTATTTATCTGAACCATAGGTGCCTGCAGGTCACAATAGTACTTATCTGTACCATAGGTACTTGCAGGTCACACTACTATTTATCTGTACCATAGGTACCTGCAGGTCACACTACTATTTATCTGTACCATAGGTACCAGCAGGTCACACTACTATTTATCTGTACCATAGGTACCAGCAGGTCACACTACTATTTATATGTATCATATGTACCAGCAGGTCACACTACTATTTATCTGTATCATATGTACCTGCAGGTCACACTACTATTTATCTGTACCATAGGTACCAGCAGGTCACACTACTATTTATCTGTATCATAGGTACCTGCAGGTCACACTACTATTTATCTGTACCATAGGTACCAGCAGGTCACACTACTATTTATCTGTATAATAGGTGCCTGCAGGTCACAATGCTATTTATCTGTACCATAGGTACCTGCAGGTCACACTACTATTTATCTGTACCATAGGTACCTGCAGGTCACACTACTATTTATCGTCACCATAGGTACCTGCAGGTCGAACTACTATTTATCTGTACCATAGGTACCTGCAGGTCACATTACTATTTATCTGTATCATAGGTACCTGCAGGTCACAATGCTATTTATCTGTACCATAGGTACCTGCAGGTCACACTACTATTTATCTGTACCATAGGTACCTGCAGGTCACACTACTATTTATCGTCACCATAGGTGCCTTCAGGTCACACTACTATTTATCGTCACCATAGGTACCTGCAGGTCGAACTACTATTTATCTGTACCATAGGTACCTGCAGGTCACATTACTATTTATCTGTATCATAGGTACCTGCAGGTCACAATGCTATTTATCTGTACCATAGGTACCTGCAGGTCACAATGCTATTTATCTGTACCATAGGTACCTGCAGGTCACACTACTATTTATCTGTACCATAGGTACCTGCAGGTCACACTACTATTTATCGTCACCATAGGTGCCTTCAGGTCACACTACTATTTATCGTCACCATAGGTACCTGCAGGTCGAACTACTATTTATCTGTACTGTAGGTACCTGGAGGTCACATTACTATTTATCTGTATCATAGGTACCTGCAGGTCACAATGCTATTTATCTGTACCATAGGTGCCTGCAGGTCACACTACTATTTATCTGTAGAATAGGTACCTGCAGGTCACACTACTATTTATCTGTACCATAGGTACCTGCAGGTCACACTACTATTTATCTGTACCATAGGTACCAGCAGGTCACACTACTATTTATCTGTACCATAGGTACCTGCAGGTCACACTACTATTTATCTGTACCATAGGTACCTGCAGGTCACACTACTATTTATCGGTACCATAGGTACCTGCAGGTCACACTACTATTTATCTGTACCATAGGTACCTGCAGGTCGAACTACTATTTATCTGTACCATAGGTGCCTGCAGGTCACACTTCTATTTATCTGTATCATAGGTACCTGCAGGTCACACTGCTATTTAGGGAGCTAACATTTGATTTTTATTTGGGGGTGGCAGGGGGGGAAAGGGGGGGGGGGGGTCTAGGGGTCTAGGAAGATTTTTTTTTAAAAAGGCAGAACACGATTTTTGAGTAAAAAAAAAGGCAGGATGAGCAACTTGGGAAAAAAAAAGGCAGGTTGACAATTTATGTAAAAAAAGTCAGGATAAACAATTAAAAAAAAAAAGGCAGGACCGATTAGGGTGAAAAATAAAAAGGCAGGACAGAGATTACAACTAAAAAAAATGCAGGACAAAATTGTTCATCCAAGCCACCCCCTCCCCCCAATGAATATCAAATGGTAGCTCCCTTATATGTACGATAGGTGCCTGCAGGTCACACTACTATGTATCTGTACAATAGGTACCTGTAGGTCACAATGCTTTTTCTCTGTACCATGGTGCCTGCAGGTCACACTACTATTTATCTGTACCATTGGTGCCTTCAGGTCACACTGCTATTTATATGTACGATAGGTGCCTGCAGGTCACACTACTATTTATCTGTACCATAGTTGCCTGTAGGTCACAGTGCTATTGATATGTACAATATTTGCCTGTAGGTCACAGTGTTATTTATCTGAACCATAGGTATTGTAGATCACACTCTATTTATCTGTACCATAGGTGTCTACAGGTATCTTAACCATAGGTACCTGCAGGTACCTTCACCACAAAAACCTGCAGGTCACACTGCTATTTATTTGTACCATAGGTGCCTGCTGGTCACACTTCTATTTATCTATACCATAGGTGCCTGCAGGACACACTTCTATTTATCTGTACCATAGGTGCCTGCAGGTCACATTTCTATTTCTCTGTGCAACATGGGCCTGCATGTCACACCACTACTTATCTGTATAATAGGTGCATGCAAATCACACTACTATTTATCTGTACCATAGGTGTCTGCAGGTCACGCTCCTATTTATCTGTACAAAGGTGCCTGCAGGTCACACTGTTATTTGTCTGTACCATCAGTGCCTGCAGATCACACTGCTATCTATCTGTATCATAGGTGCCTGCAGGTCACACTACTATTGACCTTTACCAAAGGTGCATGCAGGTCACACTACTTTTTATCTGTATCATAGGTGCCTGCAAGTCACACTTCTATGTATTTGTACGATAGGTGCCTGTAAGTCACAGTGCTATTTATTTTAACCATAGGTACCTGCAGGTTATTATACTATTTATTTGTATAATAGGTGCCTGCAGGTAATACTTCTATTTTTCTGTACCATAGGTACCTGCAGGTCACACTACTATTTTTCTTCACCATAGGTACCTGCAGGTCACACTACTATTTATCTGTATCATAGGTACCTGCAGGTCACACTACTATTTATCTTCACCATAGGTGCATGCAGGTCACACTTCTATTTATCTTCACCATAGGTGTCTGCAGGTCACACTACTATTTATCTTCACCATAGGTGCATGCAGGTCACACTTCTACTTATCTGTACCATAGGTACTTGCAGGTCACACTACTATTTATCTGTACCATAGGTTCCTGCAGGTCACACTACTATTTATCTGTACCATAGGTACCAGCAGGTCACACTACTATTTATCTGTACCATAGGTACCAGCAGGTCACACTACTATTTATATGTATCATATGTACCAGCAGGTCACACTACTATTTATCTGTATCATATGTACCTGCAGGTCACACTACTATTTATCTGTACCATAGGTACCAGCAGGTCACACTACTATTTATCTGTATCATAGGTACCTGCAGGTCACACTACTATTTATCTGTACCATAGGTACCAGCAGGTCACACTACTATTTATCTGTATAATAGGTGCCTGCAGGTCACAATGCTATTTATCTGTACCATAGGTACCTGCAGGTCACACTACTATTTATCTGTACCATAGGTACCTGCAGGTCACACTACTATTTATCGTCACCATAGGTACCTGCAGGTCGAACTACTATTTATCTGTACCATAGGTACCTGCAGGTCACATTACTATTTATCTGTATCATAGGTACCTGCAGGTCACAATGCTATTTATCTGTACCATAGGTACCTGCAGGTCACACTACTATTTATCTGTACCATAGGTACCTGCAGGTCACACTACTATTTATCGTCACCATAGGTGCCTTCAGGTCACACTACTATTTATCGTC